TCTTCTTCTTCTTCTTCTTCTTCTTCTTCTGAAGCATTAAGCGCCGCACGCGGAGTTTGGTCGCTACAGATTCTAGTTGAGAAAAAGACGACTCGATCGCTGGGACAATAGTTTTATTCGCCTGCCGTCTCGAGATCCGTCGCGGATTCGTCATCAGAGACATATTCAGAGAGCAGTAGCAGATAGACTCTAGGTCCTGTCTCACGCTTTGTCTTGCTCTCTCTATCTCTCTCTTTTCTTAACGGACGCTTTATCATCTGTTTTTCCTAGACTCGATTTCCAGTCTACTTTGCGCACGCTCCCGCGGGCACCTCTGTACGCAATATGGTGCACTACTGTCAGGCAAGTCGTTTCTTTAATCCTTTACTCTATGCGGATAGTATTGCCGGCAAAGATAAGGGCGACTTGAATGACCATTTCTGTCTTATTAGTCGTCGTCAGCCAGTCATACCCAGCCACAAGTGGTGCACCACTCAAGGCTCGAAATCGCGACCTTTTTGATCATAGTCTAATGCTCTAAACATCGAACCACGAGCTGGTTGTCTTGCCGGTTTAGGTGGGGAGATATTGACTCTGGTTGACGAACGTCCCTGACTGCTAAGAGAACTCACTCGCCCCTCTCTACTTTGGATTCCATTTCCCGGGCCATGACAGCAGCGGTAACGGCTAGTAGTTTTAGGCATATGCGTGTTCGACCATCGATTTCGATTTAATCAACCAAGCGCACCAACAGGTTGGTACAGACGGTGACGGCCCCAGGAGATAGATTATGATGATAAAAGACGTAGTTAGCGCTTACCGCACTACTCAACTTTGCCCGGGGTTAAGAAGATCAAACGGGACCCGGCGTTCGCCGCCTTTTCCGATGAAGGCCAGAAACACCGCCTAACTTAGTCTTAAGTGAGAGTAGACCTTGCGCGGGTACTATCGCACTATGTTCTCTCACTCATCTTCAGTAGGTGTCAAGATAGGCTCAAGGGGGCCGAGACGGGAACGGCTACTCCTATTTCTACTACTACTAATTAGCAATGTAGCTACGCGTTAGTAGTACTGGTAAAAGCATTTGTCAGAGGTCACGCTGATTAAAACCAGGGCTGGGGCTCATACCCCTCAATCTTAGCAAGGAGTCTTAGGCATATAGTATTGCAGGCGAAAGCAAACGAGGCTCCTAAATTGACTAACCGTCGCTAACTTCCACCAGACCTGGGTCATTGCTGGCTTTTTCTTGCCCATACTCGACAGGGTGTTTTTAATACAGTTAGGACACACTTTCAATACTGAATAATCCAAAAATTTAAAAAAGAGACCCAATGGTTATCATGCCGACACAGTCCTATCGGACCATAATTATACTTTTGGGGATGCTTCAATTTGAACAGCCAGCGTGGTCAGTGCCAAACAGTAGCTGGTCGAAAACATACATCCACAGCCGACGCTATTGGAACTATCAGAGACACAGTGGACAACAGTGCGTTTTGTATGTCCCTTTAGTCACCACTGACGGTACCGGAATAGTGGTAACACAGGTTTTAATGGTGGGGCCTCAAAGCCAATACGCGATAAAAAATGTGCAAGAAAGCAAATAGAGTTAATTCCCATCAACGAAGTTGAAAGTGATAATGAAAAAATAGACAAATAGTGACTCAATAACTAAACGGAATCTGAATATCATAAACTAGAATAAAACCACATTCTCTATGCCCTTATATGAAGCACACAGAGGGTTCCTTCCCAAGGTGATTAAATAGTAACCCGTACCAGGGTAGGCCATGCATTTTTAAACTCAGGGGCTCAAACAACCTATCTTTATCGACAGAATGTTCAACGCCCCTGTCGGCAAGATTGTGCTCCCGTTTTGTTACGTGGCAAATTTGAAGCCGTCGACTCTGGAAAGGAAGGGGACGCGCAACACTATAAACTATCAACTTCTCAAGTCTACGACCTGGGTCACATAGACATTCCGGTGAAGTTGTAGTGGGGCAGTGATGACTGGTCGTCAACACCTATAGACACATGTCGCCTCCTTGGCGAACTGCCTAGGTGGAGCTGTATTCGGGCCACCTGTCTGCCCTTCTAAAACCATGCAGAATTTGTGTGGGGCATTAACGCCGTCAAGCTGATCTATTCGGATATACTCGAGTTCTTTCGAGAACTCCAGTGATTCTGCAAATATGCCCAAGTTTAACTTGAAAAAAGTTTATTTGACAAACACATGTTTTTGGCAATTCACTATTGGGCCTGTATAACTTCGTTGAAAACGAAAGTATGAGAGTTGGGTTGGGTTTGCAGATGTCTTCTAAGTTAAACGCTTCGGTTTAACACCGCCCGCATGGTGAGAGCGGCATGTAGAGGTCATTAGGCTGGGCAGGAGGGAAATAGGGTACGCGGTGAGTAGTGGTCATGGCTCAGGTATA